TATATATTCCTTGCCAAACAACCTAAACCTAACCATTATACCCAGATCCAAATTCCTCGCACTTGGAAGCGATGAATACGCCTACCTGGAAGAAGATTGCAAGAAGCTGTCAGAAGACACATGGCTCTGCAAATCACTAGATATAGTACGCCATAGAGAAATCTGAAGATTGCATCATCTCACTCATCTAGCATAAAGATGGTAACTGCACTCGGGCACGTATGAATCTGAAGCGAGGAAAATTGCAGAAGATTAAAGAAAATAAGTGTTTGGTAGTATCAACGGAACCAGAAATTACAAAAACCCAATGCGGACAGAAAACAGAGTATAGGAAACCATCAGGAACATTCTTCATCAACCTAACACAGGACTGTCAAGTTAATGTCATGAATACAACGATAAGAACATACACTAGCAGCATCTCCATGGACGAAGTCATCCCTCTACTCAACGAGAACCTAATACACCAGGAAAAAGTCCAGTACGAGATACATCTGGAAGACATCTCACTAGATAGTGTCCATGAACTTATGAACAAGGTTGAAGATATTCAAGAAATAGAAATCTGGAACTGGTCATATATGATGGCAATTCCCAGCTGGTCTACAGTGCTCCTCTACATACTAGCAGCATCTATTGCAATTGGAAGATATACAATTGGAACAAGCGTCCAAGCAAAGCAAGTCGCGAGGACGCTCCTGGAAGCTGCAAAACCAGCTTCCAACTTAAGGAGGGAAGAGTTAACGTGTCGTAACCCTGGAATCGGGCTGACATAGCAGTTAAACATAACAATGAACATATGTGGAACGCTTGCGCTGCGAAAAGTATCATCGTGGAAACAATGGAACTGTCTCGCAGTCTGACACCATCCACGCATAACCTAACTTCTTTTTATAAATTTACAATTTGTTTGAATTCATTATTTTTGTTACTTTTCTGAAATTAAATTAATTATATTTTTTTAAAAGTCTTTCGATCGCCGCCATATCGTTACTCGCCTTGCGAGTTTATTTGTATCTGTAGAACTATAATTAATTGATTATAAGTAAACTATACCATAAACTTGTTTAAAATTAATGATTTCGATGGAATAAAACATTTTAAATTATATTCTTAATTAAAATAACAGTTTCTTTCATTTTTATTATAATCAAATTGCTTAGTACGTACAAGTATTTTATAAGTTTATATGTACCTGCTATTATTGTTTGTTGTATTACTAAAAAACTAAATACCAATATTCCAGATGGTTATATTACTAATATTTAATTTAACTTTATATTTAGTGTATAAGAAATAAATTAAGGCACATTTGTGTAACCTTTTGAATTATTATATAGTTTTTATTTGTTATCGAAACTAAGTGGCCACAATTCAGGTTTTCATAAATGAGAAATCAAAAATCTTTCGTTAATAATTTTCATTCTTTAAAAATAGCAATGTAATAAACATTGTGCTTTAGGCACGGGTGATACCACTCCTACCCTATATCAAATCGGTATCCTTTTTTGTATTGAATTTGAATATCTGATATTGCATATGTATATTTTCAATATCAGTAAATATTTACGTGATTTTGTAAATCTGTTAGGAGGAAGTATTCAGTACGATAAGATGGTACTTATGCAATTTTCGATGGATTTGGATTTGGGAGCAATACTTTGATATTAAAATATTTCTTGTATTGTAATATCTAAGTATGTTAGTACGTATTGGTTAATATCTATGATATTCTGAAATTAGTATATCTTACAACGAAGAGTCGGAGTAGGTATATATGTTTTAGTTACTCAAATACTTCGATCAACAATACCAACTAGATGTCGGATCGGCGCAAGAAACCCATCTCGGTACATAACAGCGCAAATGAGACGTGAGCTCTTGTTTCGTTTAGTTCACTTGAAATACAGCCAATGTAAACAGGTTTCACAATGCCGCAATGTGTATTTAAAAGTTGCAAGAATAATGCCCGAAAAAGTAATTTAACGGCCGTAGTGTCTTACTTTCGGTAAGTACATGTATAATAAGTGATATTTTAAGCTCTAAGCTAACAAATAATATCATATTTGGAACAAAATTACCAATCAAAATCACACCCACAAATGTTTTGCCAATGTTGACCAATATACGGGCAAACATTTATGAAACAGAACATAGGCGCATGAAGTAGACTTGTATTGTAATAATTTTTAATAATTGGTTACCAAAACTTTAAATAATGGTAATTGCTACTTTTGTCTTTGTTTGTGTAATTCCATTAGATACCTACTTAGCTTTTTTATTTTAGCTTTTTTAGGAGCCAGTGGTAAAATAAAATAAAGTGACTTTCAATAAGTATTATATCTATATTGAATAAAAAAGTTTCTGTTTCTGTTACTGTTATAATTATTTTGATTTTTATGTACAACACATAAAAACACTTATAAATAAATAAAAATCCTATTATACGCAAAAACATAAAATAATTAGTATTTTATTTATTCATTATTCTTTATTGTACACCAACACAAACAAGTTTTTTTATAGGATAGAGTGACAAACGATCACAGTCCACCGGACGGTAAGTGGTTGCTGTGGCCCATAGACATCTACATTTATCCTCGACTATGAATCAAAATACAGATGCCTCGTTTCCAGTAAAAAGGGTATCCGGTTATCACCACACGAAAATAGCAGCATTTAGCTACTATTTTACGCTGGTATTCTGTGAGAGCATGGTTCTTCCCCGGTCGAGCCGACCGATTCGTGCTGCAGAGCACCTCCCGCCCTCCCTCAATTGCATGCACTAACTCCGTCACCACTAGTCCCAGCACCACTACTCCCAACACCACTATTCCAGGTAAGACACATCATTGTATTTATTTAGCGGAAAGTTACAAAGAAATTTATATTTTTATTTTTTTATGATTTCTTTTTGTTTCTTTTCCTGAATATTTCATATAAGCCAAATGAAAGTGAATAATTGTAATGTGTAAAAATAAACTTGGACATAGAGATTTCTAGTTTACATTGCGGTTTTTGTATAAAACCAAAAAAATAATTATTCTCCCTCAAAGCAACATAATTACGATGTATATAAAACTTCAATTTTGTTTCTATATATTTTCCTTGCAATTTTTTGAATTTACTTAACATGATATTTCAAATGTTTGTTATACTTCAAAAGAATGCATTCCAACTAATGACTAGCTTCACACAGAAATCACCACGAGAGTAGAATTACATCAGCGAATAATGGCAGCTTTTGGAGTAAAAATAGGAAATTCAAATGAAAATAACCACATATGAAGTACGAAATCGTTGTAGAAAATGTACGCCTAATGGTGGAGGCCATTTTGAACACCAAAACTATTATTTTTTTTGTACAAAACAGTTTTTTTTTATTTCCTAAAATATCAATATTCACGACCTCTAACTGGTTCAGGCGCCCTAATTAAAAATTTTTAAGACTCAGCTACGTAAATGATAGCTCAAATTAAAGAACAATAACCAAGCATGTTTTTAAAGTTGTCTGAACACCTGTAGGTATTTTATTTATTTTATTTTTAAATGACATCAAAATTCACATTTTTTATTTTCCTTCTTTTTTTGTAAAGTTTAATGCTTTGTAAGTAACTTTTTTGGACACAATGGAGCTTAAAACTACCTTGGTACGATCGGGGACACATTGGACTACAAGAGTAATAAAAAAAACGGACATTTCTGTTTAGGTTAGAAATTATTGGCATTTAATTGACCAATTTTGGGTTTTTCGTGCTAAAATCGTAAAAGTCCCCTTAAAATTGAAATCGCGATAAAAAAAATTTGTATGATTATGTTCCTAAATAGTCTAGTGTATCACCCCTTCAAATTTGTGCATCCGACCACCAAACAACCTGTAGATCCCAAAGAAATGAGGTATCAAACACCCACACTGTTATCTTCAGTATTATTAAGAAAACAACTGATTGAAGATTTTTATATTGTGATAGATTCATTAAACGAGGGTTGAATGGTCTAAGCAAAATGATAATTATTTTGCAACTATTACTTTAAATTGCATATTTTAGTTTTTGCTTACTGCGAACGTATTCTACAGTCAAGCCACGCTGACAACACTGCATTAATCAAAAATCAAAAATGGCTGCCTTGTTGTTGGCGACTGTTGGGCGCTTGTTTAGGGAATAAATGTTTATTTCTTTGTTTTGCTGTGTATTCTATTTAACGTTTGTGTAATGCTCTGTGAAGTACATTACATAGTTTAATTATTTGGTAAGTTATAGTAAATTTGTGTTCGTGTTGACATACTTGAGAAATCTGTAACGTAATAACTGTTAGGCGCAACGTGAGCTTTTTGTGCGTATTCGTATTTGTGTCATTCAGCACATAATTTGTCTGCTTTCGAAAATCTTTCATACTTAATTCTAAAGTTTATATGTCTGTTACCGTATAATTTTGTAAAACTGGTCGAGAATATGTTGACCTTAGGTCGTTCATTACAGAACAATAAAAGACCTTTACATCGCAATGGCATCGTAATGTTCCTGTTTGTTCTACGAATCCTTTTCGTATTGGTTATTTAAAAGTGAATTCAAAAAACAGGCTATTAAAATATGTATTCATTCCAAATGGTAGGTTTCAATAAAAAACATATTTGGGGTAAATGAACTCTACAAAATAATCTCCTTTTCCATGATATATGTTTACGACCGAAGATGCGATCATTATTTTGTATCGTTTGCTTTTTTACTGTTTTTAAATTCAACTTAAGTGACACTTTGTTACAGAGTTAAATATTTACACTTCTCTGCATTAACTATAATAGACCATATTTAATAATGACTGAACACTGAATCATCTTAATCCATTCCAAACATGTATTTCAGATTATTCACCCAGCAGTTGCCCCAAGGAGAGCATTAGCTGATGTTTACCAAGGAATATCCCACCATTAATATAAGCATATGTTAATAAAAGCAGTGGTGTGTTTCTTTGTGTTGTAAGAATATATTATGTCCAAAATGTGGCCTCAATCGCAGTACTCGCACACTAACACTCACTACCAAAACAATGCTGCTAAGACTAATGAACACCAGAACCAGCAGAATTTGAAGACATTGGGGATGACATCTGCTATATCAATGGCAGGTAGGTGTATTGTGCATTCTATGATTTAACTAGTGCAATTGACTGTTAGGACATGAAGGAATGTAAGGATATCATTAATAAAAAGACTCAACACTCATTGTGGGAAAACTGTATGCTAAGGTACTAATGAAAGATTGTGACCAGGATTAAGAAAGGAATGCTTCAGTGGTTTGGTCATGTGGAAGGAATGAATTAGGAAAGAGTGACAAAGAAAATTTATGTTGCAGAAGTGAATGGCAGAGTCGGAAAGGGACGTCCTAGGCAAATATTTATAGATCAAAATTGGTGATGTATTGAAATTTGCCAAATTAGGTGTACCCTTAACTGACGAGCATGTATGCGTAGGTATATGGATGTGAAGGAGGTGAGAGTGGTGTGTCAGGATCATGTCAAATGGAAGTCTGTAGTCTCTGCCTACCTCTCTGGGTGACAGGCGTGAGTGTTTATGTATGTATGTTATGTAAAAAGACTCAATTCAGAAATTTTAGGTCATAATATAAAAAAAGCACAATTTGTTTTTGCTAAATTTTAAGGTTATTATATTATGTGAGATTTATGTGTGTTTAATATCTCTACTACCATTATAATATTGTAGTTATCTTTTATCTTGATGTTAAAGCTCAAGTCAAATCAATAACTGAAATAAAATATAATTTGCCTTGCACACTTAAGGTCATTATTATAACTAGAGATGCAATGCAACAGATATCTGGTTATTGTTTGGTATCTGGTAGTTGGTATCAAACCAGATAGTAACCAGTATTTGACCAGATATCATATAGTAGAGATGACGAATACTCGGTATTATTTGGTATTCAGCATTATTTGACACTTTTTTTGATATTCTATATTTAGTTGTCTAAAATAAACTTTTAATGAACAAAAAAACTATAGACCTAAAAATAATAACTTAAATTTTTCTTAAAATATTAAAATAAACTTAGTATTTAATTATTATATTAGTATAAAAATTTAGGCAAAATGATTTCTTAAATTTACGCGAACACTACACATTGAATAAAACTATTTTATTTCACTACTTTTACTTATTTTTAATTCCCGACGTTTCGGGTGCTTTACATTACATCAGATTTGATAAACCACAAGTCCTTGCAAAAGAACACCGATTCCTACCAAGGATGATACGCAAGGCTATCGAAATTAAAAAACATCCTAATTTCAATAGAGAAGATGGTTGAATGCTGCCATCTGCTTGGGATCCTATAATTAACAAAATTAAACCCAAACCCAAGCATACCACTGTAGGACTTCAAGATAATGTAAGTTTGTTTTGCGTAAATCAGACCAAAAATTAATATTCAAAAACTGAAGGTAGCCGGGCTAACAATGACATTGGGACGTCAAACATCTCAGTCCCCCCGTGACCATGGTTGTTGTAAAGCACCCGAAACGTCGGGAATTAAAAATAAGTAAAAGTAGTGAAATAAACGTGATAAAATCCGTAAATTTAGTTTTATTCAATTTAGGCAAAACTTAGTCATGTCATGTTAAAGTTAATTAGTTATCTTCTCAACTGTCTAGGCCAAAATAGCCCCTTTGGCGCATACTGTCCAAACATAAACAAGTGATTTATTGCCTACATGGTGCATGTCATTAAAATGGCAATATCTTAAGAATTATGTATAGAAACTATATAAAATAATATATTGTTAGAATTATTGTTAAGTAAGCTAATAGAACATGTGTAAATGTGTATGTTCACCTTTTTGATATTTTCTAAATTCCATGGTTAAAGGTGCTCAAAGTGATTTTTTTCCAGTTTGTTGAATAAAAAATGTAAAAAAATGTTCAATAAATATTTATTTTATTTTCAATAATATAATACACTTTACAATAATTAATGAAAAATCTCATCTCTGCATACATTTCTTTTACACCACAAGCTCAACAATAATGTGGGCCACTTAAGATGACCCAAAGCAAGCACAAAAAAGGCACATTTTGTACTTCATTACCGACAATCCTTTACCGAGATTAGCAGGTTAATGATATTAAAACAATGTTGTATGAGTTAGAGGGAGATACATACTACAGTTGTTTCGTGTATGAAGTTTATAAGTAAACAGCAACCTTCTAAAGGTTGTGGATAGATGCATACTTTTTGATAGTGACCTTTAGAAGGTTTTGGACAGACGAAAGGTTAGACTTATTAATTAATACCTTATTAAACACGTGTTCTCATTATTAAAATTAAAACATCGACTGATGTCACTTCAAGCCAGTTCATCGCAAATGATACACAAATGAATGCCGCCCAACCTTACCACAAGCGAAATTGATTGGGCGGAAAATCCCCTACATTATTAAATGCTGGGTTATACAAAACAAGGTATTCCTCATAAAATATTAGAAGAAAAGGGTTGCCAGCATTTAAAAATGTAAAATCAGAGTATTACATGAGATGGATTTCTTTAACTTCATTGTTTTCTTTTCTCATATTAACCTTATAAAACTTAGAGATTACAGTAACAAATAAATTATTGGTAATTTCGAGACTACTACAAGCGCGATATTATTATTTGATAATAATTGAACTGTTTTTTATGTTCCTTTTTTATGTTGAATAATAATGGGAGTTATTCGACTACTCGCCATAGGGAATGACGATCAATTGGTATTCAACTATTTACAGCATCTCTACCATATAGGCAATTTGATTATATATATATATATATATATATATATATATATATATATAGTGTTTCAAATACAAAATATAGTTTTTATAACTTAACCGTCCAGGCTCTGACATTTTATTAGACTAACTAGTCAGACCTATGCTCAAGCCAAAGATTATAGTAGGCTTAGGCCAAGGACAATATTTTTTTTTAATGAAGGTTAATATAACTTAGTCATATAACTGATTATTTTTACTATGTTCTTATTTAATGGTGTTACAACGTTCAATTTATATTACAAAAATTATAATAAAGAACTTAACTAAAATAATAATTAAAATTATAATATTAAAGATTAAAACTAATTATATACAACATAAAAGAAGAAACTATAATATAGAAAATCTAAAACTAAAAAATTTAAATCGTCAAAAAGACCTGCTCCCCGTGGTATAGTGCCAAGAACGCTGGCTGCGTTTCCTCGCTGAATAGCTATATAAATGTTCTTATATAAAAATAAAAAAATTATTAACAATTAAAATATGGAATTATTTGATTGAAGGTCAAGTGAGTGTTAAAGGAACGACAATTACAAGACATTGTCGATAAATAAAATGTTTTGCAAAGTTATCAATTACTGTGTAGTGGCAGTATGTGAATATTCATATCATCCTGTGGGTGCCCTAAGAGGTGACTAGACTTGGGGAAAAGTGTTACTTTAAAATAACCTTGACCGTTATTCCAGTTACCAATAACTCAATGAAAAATCATCGTAACTTTGTCACATTGATATAGTTTGACAATTACTTGAAACATAAGAATGACCAACGACTACACAGCCTGAATAGACGCCTCATACAAGGCGAACACTTACTGTCAACACGTTAGACAAATACGTTTTACTGAAGAAAACGATCGCGCAATCTACTTTAGTAATGACCACATATGTGACCCGTGAACGTCTTGCATGTGACTCGTGAATTTTCGACAAAATAAAATACAACAGGCGCATAACACGGCTCCCTGTACAATAATCTAATTACATCTAATTTAAAAAAAATGGCATCACTTTTCATAGATAAGTATATTTTAATTTCCAAATTCATTAATTAAAATTAAAGAAGAGCTCAACCTATATTTGTCATAAAGCAACTCGCGTTGATTTATTCGGATATTTTCGGACTATGCATCCCTTTCTATTCAATGCGGTTCATTGTTGCTATACTATTCTTTAATTACCGGTACGTGTAACTAGTGCTGTACTAGTTGAACTATAATATTGGTACAAGTAAATATTATGCATGTTATCGTGAATGTTTTAGACATATAAACAACATAAGTGTAAGCTGAATTTTTGTAGTTAATGGTCATTAATCAATATTTCAATTAATTATTGGTTTAATAATTAAATCAATTCATTTAAAATTTCTTAAAAAAATCATAATAAAATTAATATAATTTTTAAGGGATGGCACTCCGCTCTCTTTACTGCTAAGACGCCATATCAAGACAAGTGGGATTCGGAAGTGAACTTGACAGTTTAAATAACTGTTGCTATTTTATTTTTAATAGTATTCTATTATTATTTTAATATTGTAAAGAAAACTTGTTTTAATAAAAATATTCTTTAAAACAGGTGTGTGGACAGGAATGTGTTATGGCAAACACTGAACTCATATGGGTTGAGCGCTGGTTTGATACAGGCATTAAGGTCTCTTTATAGGGACTCTAGTGCTTGTGTCAGGATCAATGGGGTCTACTCGGACTGGTTTGGCATCCAAAAAGGTGTCAGACAGGGCTGTGTAGCTTCCCCTTGGCTGTTCAACCTATTTATGGACCGGTGTTTGCAAACTTTGAAAGATGAAGAATGTGGGTTAAGAATGGGCGAGTTAACCGTCAAATGCCTTTTGTATGCCGATGATCAAGTCATACTTGCGTCATCGGCGGCAGAGTTGCAAATGATGGTTACATTAATGAACTGGGAATTAAAAGAAAGGGGAATGAAAGTGAACGCAAGTAAGACGAAAGTGATGGTTTTTGAAAGAGAAGAAAGCAAAAAATGTGAAATAAGAATAGAAGGAGAGTTGATTGAGCAAGTGGATGAGTTTGTGTATTTGGGATGTGTATTTAGCAGGGATGGTAGATATGATAGGGATATAGAACGACGAGTAAATGCGGGGAATAGAGTGAATGGGGCACTACACTCTATTATGAAGAACCAGAATTTGTCAAAACAGGCACGTATGGTAATTCATAATGCTGTGTTAGTCCCTACTTTAATGTATGGTAGTGAAAGCTGGGTATGGCAGAAGAAGCACGAAAGTAGAATAAATGCTGTAGAAATGCGGTCTTTAAGGAATG